TTCAGGTAGTAGATAATGTTTATTGAAATAATTAAACATTTCTTGAACATTCACTGTCGAGTTATCTCTAAATTAATTTATCTTTTCGCATTCCATCACACAGTGACAATCATTTATTGTTGATGCCTGTAGGATCTAGCTGTTAGCTCTTGGACTCCGCCTTTGTCCCAGCTGTTGCCTAATGTAGTTCACTCTCAACCTGTTTTCCTCTTTCATATATTTCTCTATCACAGGTTTCTCTTCCTCTCATCTCTCTCTCTCTCTCTCTCTCTCTCTCTCTCTCTCTCTCTCTCTCTCTCTCTCTCTCTCTCTCTCTCTCTCTCTCTCTCTCTCTCTCTCTCTCTCTCTCTCTCTCTCTCTCTCTCTCTCTCTCTCTCTCTCTCTCTCTCTCTCTCTCTCTCTCTCTCTCTCTCTCTCTCTCTCTCTCTCTCTCTCTCTCTCTCTCTCTCTCTCTCTCTCTCTCTCTCTCTCTCTCTCTCTCTCTCTCTCTCTCTCTCTCTCTCTCTCTCTCTCTCTCTCTCTCTCTCTCTCTCTCTCTCTCTCTCTCTCTCTCTCTCTCTCTCTCTCTCTCTCTCTCTCTCTCTCTCTCTCTCTCTCTCTCTCTCTCTCTCTCTCTCTCTCTCTCTCTCTCTCTCTCTTTCTACCTCACACATACACACACACACATCCTGACCGAAGAAGCAGCCCTTAGCAGCCGTCTGACTCCCAGGTACGTATTTACTGTTAGGTGAACAAGCACATCAGGGCGAAAGAAACTCTGCCCATTTGGTTTAGCCCCGGCCGGTACTCGAACCCGGGCCATTAGGACTAAGACCCTGGAACGTGTCTTCTTCTTCGTATTCGTGTCTTGGGTTCAAGAAGACAATTCAGTCTAAGATTTTTGTATTCGAGCGTTGTATTCAATCCTTGTGATGCGGGGACAATTGTATTCGAGCGTTGTATTCAATCCTTGTGATGCGGGGACAATTGTATTCGAGCGTTGTATTCAATCCTTGTGATGCGGGGACAATTGTATTCGAGCGTTGTATTCAATCCTTGTGATGCGGGGACAATTGTATTCGACGGGTGGGATGGGCCTGGAAGAGGAGAAGGGAAGGGTGGAGACGGGGGAGTGAGGGACATATAGGGAGGGATGACAGGGTAGGAAGGTAGAATGGAACAAATGTCCTGAAAGTTACATGTAGACCTGAGAGAGAGGTCTTGCCTCTGTACTGACAGAGTTCCTGGTGCCCCCTCTGACTTCCTGGTGCCCACCCTGACTTCCTGGGGCCCACACTGACTTCCTGGTGCCCACACTGACTTCCTGGTGCCCACCCTGACTTCCTGGGGCCCACACTGACTTCCTGGTGCCCACACTGACTTCCTGGTGCCCACCCTGACTTCCTGGTGCCCACACTGACTTCCTGGTGCCCACACTGACTTCCTGGTGCCCACACTGACTTCCTGGGGCCTACACTGACTTCCTGGTGCCCACACTGACTTCCTGGTGCCCACACTGACTTCCTGGTGCCCACACTGACTTCCTGGTGCCCACACTGACTTCCTGGTGCCCACCCTGACTTCCTGGTGCCCACACTGACTTCCTGGTGCCCACACTGACTTCCTGGTGCCCACACTGACTTCCTGGTGCCCACCCTGACTTCCTGGTGCCCACACTGACTTCCTGGTGCCCACCCTGACTTCTTGGTGCCCACACTGACTTCCTGGGGCCCACACTGACTTCCTGGTGCCCACACTGACTTCCTGGTGCCCACACTGACTTCCTGGTGCCCACACTGACTTCCTGGTGCCCACCCTGACTTCCTGGTGCCCACACTGACTTCCTGGTGCCCACACTGACTTCCTGGTGCCCACACTGACTTCCTGGTGCCCACACTGACTTCCTGGTGCCCACACTGACTTCCTGGTGCCCACATTGACTTCCTGGTGCCCACACTGGCTTCCTGGTGCCCACACTGACTTCTTGGTGCCCACTCTGACTTCCTGGTGCCCACACTGACTTCCTGGTGCCCACACTGACTTCCTGGTGCCCACACTGGCTTCCTGGTGCCTACACTGACTTCCTGGTGCCCACACTGACTTCCTGGTGCCCACACTGACTTCTTGGTGCCCACACTGACTTCCTGGTGCCCACACTGACTTCCTGGTGCCCACACTGACTTCCTGGTGCCCACACTGACTTCCTGGTGCCCACACTGACTTCCTGGTGCCCACACTGACTTCCTGGTGCCCACACTGGCTTCCTGGTGCCCACACTGACTTCTTGGTGCCCACTCTGACTTCCTGGTGCCCACACTGACTTCCTGGTGCCCACACTGACTTCCTGGTGCCCACACTGACTTCCTGGTGCCCACACTGACTTCCTGGTGCCCACACTGACTTCCTGGTGCCCACACTGACTTCCTGGTGCCCACACTCATTTCCTGGTGCCCACACTGACTTCCTGGTGCCCACACTCATTTCCTGGTGCCCACACTGACTTCCTGGTGCCCACACTGACTTCCTGGTGCCCACACTGGCTTCCTGGTGCCCACACTGACTTCTTGGTGCCCACTCTGACTTCCTGGTGCCCACACTGACTTCCTGGTGCCCACACTGACTTCTTGGTGCCCACACTCATTTCCTGGTGCCCACACTGACTTCTTGGTGCCCACACTGACTTCCTGGTGCCCACACTGACTTCCTGGTGCCCACACTGACTTCCTGGTGCCCACACTGACTTCCTGGTGCCCACACTGACTTCCTGGTGCCCACACTGACTTCCTGGTGCCCACACTGACTTCCTGGTGCCCACACTGACTTCCTGGTGCCCACACTGATTTCCTGGTGCCCACACTGACTTCCTGGTGCCCACACTGACTTCCTGGTGCCCACACTGACTTCTTGGTGCCCACACTGACTTCCTGGTGCCCACTCTGACTTCCTGGTGCCCACACTGACTTCCTGGTGCCCACACTGACTTCTTGGTGCCCACACTCATTTCCTGGTGCCCACACTGACTTCCTGGTGCCCACACTGACTTCTTGGTGCCCACACTGACTTCCTGGTGCCCACACCGACTTCTTGGTGCCCACACCGACTTCCTGGTGCCCACACTGACTTCCTGGTGCCCACACTGACTTCCTGGTGCCCACACTGACTTCCTGGTGCCCACACTGACTTCCTGGTGCCCACACTGACTTCCTGGTGCCCACACTGACTTCCTGGTGCCCACACTGACTTCCTGGTGCCCACACTGACTTCCTGGTGCCCACACTGGCTTCCTGGTGCCCACACTCATTTCCTGGTGCCCACACTGGCTTCCTGGTGCCCACACTGACTTCCTGGTGCCCACACTGACTTCCTGGTGCCCACACTGACTTCCTGGTGCCCACACTGACTTCCTGGTGCCCACACTGACTTCCTGGTGCCCACCCTGACTTCCTGGTACCCACACTGACTTCCTGGTGCCCACCCTGACTTCCTGGTGCCCACCCTGACTTCCTGGTGCCCACACTGACTTCCTGGTGCCCACCCTGACTTCCTGGTGCCCACACTGACTTCCTGGTGCCCACCCTGACTTCCTGGTGCCCACCCTGACTTCCTGGTGCCCACACTGACTTCCTGGTGCCCACCCTGACTTCCTGGTGCCCACACTGACTTCCTGGTGCCCACCCTGACTTCCTGGTGCCCACCCTGACTTCCTGGTGCCCACACTGACTTCCTGGTGCCCACCCTGACTTCCTGGTGCCCACACTGACTTCCTGGTGCCCACCCTGACTTCCTGGTGCCCACCCTGACTTCCTGGTGCCCACACTGACTTCCTGGTGCCCACCCTGACTTCCTGGTGCCCACACTGACTTCCTGGTGCCCACCCTGACTTCCTGGTGCCCACCCTGACTTCCTGGTGCCCACACTGACTTCCTGGTGCCCACACTGACTTCCTGGTGCCCACACTGACTTCCTGGTGCCCACACTGACTTCCTGGTGCCCACCCTGACTTCCTGGTGCCCACCCTGACTTCCTGGTGCCCACACTGACTTCCTGGTGCCCACACTGACTTCCTGGTGCCCACACTGACTTCCTGGTGCCCACACTGACTTCCTGGTGCCCACCCTGACTTCCTGGTGCCCACACTGACTTCCTGGTGCCCACACTGACTTCCTGGTGCCCACACTGACTTCCTGGTGCCCACACTGACTTCCTGGTGCCCACCCTGACTTCATGGTGCCCACTCTGACTTCCTCTTGTTGTTATCCAGCTCCTGCAGGACCCCCTCCCCCCCCCCTTGCTATCCTCGGTCCACCGGAGACCACGATCGCTTCCTCCAAGTCCACGTTCGATCCCCAATGGTCAGATTGGCTGAGCGGCCTAGATCCCAACTCCTTCTCATATCCCTAATTGCTATACAGTCAGAGACCATTAGCGCTTGATCCTAAGCACCTGATCACCCGTGCGGCCGGCCAGAAAAGTCGAGATATATAGTGATTGGCCAGTTACGTGTCCAGGAGTCCAGGTTGGAGACTCTAAGGGGCTGAGAGTCCAGGCTGGGACTCTCAGCGTCTGAGAGTCCAGGCTGGGACTCTCAGCGTCTGAGAGTCCAGGCTGGGACTCTCAGCGTCTGAGAGCAGGCTCCTCAAGATGCTGAGAGCGTGAGAACTCACGCGGTCGTAGCTGTAGTTTCCTTCTGGGCTCTTACTGTGTAGTCTTGTGACACTAACGGATGGAGCTTGGGAATTGAACGGAGGTGGGGGGGAGGGGGGTACTACCTTCCTGGGGAGATAACGGGGGGAGAGGGGTGACCTACCTGGGGAGATAACGGGGGAGAGGTGTGACCTACCTGGGAAGATAACGAGGGGGGGTGACCTACCTGGGGAGATAACGAGGGGAGAGGGGTGACCTACCTGGGGAGATAACGGGGAGAGGGGTGACCTACCTGGGGAGATAACGAGGGGAGAGGGGTGACCTACCTGGGGAGATAACGGGGGAGAGGTGTGACCTACCTGGGAAGATAACGAAGGGGGGGTGACCTACCTGGGGAGATAACGAGGGGAGAGGGGTGACCTACCTGGAGAGATAACGGGGTAAAGGTGTGACCTACCTGGGGAGATAACGAGGGGAGAGGTGTGACCTACCTGGGGAGATAACGGGGGAGAGGTGTGACCTACCTGGGGAGATAACGGGGGAGAGGTGTGACCTACCTAGGGAGATAACGGGGGAGAGGTGTGACCTACCTGGGGAGATAACGGGGGAGAGGTGTGACCTACCTGGGGAGATAACGGGGGAGAGGTGTGACCTACCTGGGGAGATAACGGGGGAGGGGTGTGACCTACCTGGGGAGATAACGGGGGAGGGGTGTGACCTACCTGGGGAGATAACGGGGGAGAGTGTGATCTACCTGGGGAGATAACGGGGGAGAGGTAAGAGCAACCTGGGGAGATAACGGGGGAGGGGTGTGACCTACCTGGGGAGATAACGGGGGAGGGGTGTGACCTACCTGGGGAGATAACGGGGGAGAGTGTGATCTACCTGGGGAGATAACGGGGGAGAGGTAAGAGCAACCTGGGGAGATAACAGGGTGAAGTGGGACCTACCTGGGGTGATAATGGGATAGCTACCTAACTGGGAAGATAACGGGGAGAGTTGACCTTGGGGAGAGATAGCAGTCAGAGATAACCTTGCTGTGGGAGAGAAAATAATGAGAGATAACGTTGCTAGGGGAGAGATAGCAATGAGCGATCCTCTTGCTGGGGAGAGATAACAGTGACAGATAACATTGCTGGGGAAGAGATAACAATTAGAAATAACCTTTCTGGATGAGGGACAACAGAGATAACCTTGGTGGGGAGAGGTAATCCGGAGAGATAACCTTGTTAGGGGGAAGAGATAAAATCTTTCTCTCTACCACAGACGTGGCCACACATTAACAATGCTAACCAGCATATATACATTTTCTTCTGTCCTCCATGGACAGGGTGAGAGGTCTGTTTAACATATAGTTCAGGGATTTATTGAACAATCAACCACAGAAGGTGATTGTAGTGCTTTTAAATTGCTAATCTATCTTGAGACGTTATCTTGAGGTTATCCTGAGGCCGGGCTTAGCGTCCCCGTGGCCCGGTCCTCGACCAGGCCTCTTTGACAAAGTGCTAAAATTTTTCGAAAACAGTGCTAAAAAGTAAGATCACAAAACACATGGAATCACAGCATCTCCATAACCCCGGACAACATTGTTTCAGAACAGGGCGCTACTGCCTGTCGCAGTTGCTGGACCACTATGATATGGCATTAAATGCCATGGAAGACAAACAAAACGCTGATGTAATTTACACAGATTTCGCAAAAGCTTTTGATAAATGTGACCATGGTGTTATTGCACATAAAATGCGTTCAAAAGGAATTACCGGGAAAATAGAGAGATGGATCTACAATTTCCTGACTAACAGAACCCAATGTGTAACAGTAAACAAAATAAAATCCAGCCCATCAACCGTGAAGAGCTCAGTCCCCCAGGGTACTGTGCTTGCTCTAGTACTTTTTCTCATCCTCATATCGGACATTAGACAAGGACACAGCCTATAGTACTGTATCATCCTTTGCAGATGACACTAGGATTTTTATTAGAGAAGACAACATAGAGGACACAGCTAACCTCCAATCAAATGTAAATTAGGTCTTTCAATGGGGCTACAGAAAATAAAATGATATTTAACGAAGATAAGTTCCAGCTCATGCGCTACGGAACAAAATGAAAATATAAAAACAGAAACCACGTACAAAACTCAAGCAAATCATAACGTAGAACGAAAAATCAATGTAAAACATTTGGGTGTACTCATGTCGGAAGACCTTACATTTAAAGAACACAATAAAGTAGCCGTCACAACTGCAAGAAAAATGACAGGTTCGATAACAAGAACTTTTCTCACTAGAGATGCTATCTGATGATGATACTTTTCAAGACGCTAATGCTCGCTAGAGTGGAGTACTGCTGCACAATGACAGCCCCTTTCAAAGCTGGAGAAATTGCTGACCTGGAGAGCGTGCAGAGATCCTTTACTGCTAGAATCCACTCAGTAAAACTTCTAAACTATTGGGACCGACTAAAGAGCCTAAATCTGTATTCCCTTGAGCGCAGGCGGGAGAGATACATAATAATTTACACGTGGAAAATAGTAGAGAGGCTGGTCCCAAACCTGCACACAGAAATAACATCACACGAGACCAGAAGGCATGGCAGGATGTGCAGAATACCCCCATTGAAGAGCAGAGGTGCAACAAGTACTTTGAGAGAGAACTCTATCAACATCAGAGGCCCGAGACTGTTCAACACGCTTCCACTACACATAAGGGGCATAACTGGCCGACCCCTAACAATGTTCAAGAGAGAACTTGATGAACACCTCCAAAGAATACCTGATCAACCAGGCTGTGATTCATACGTAAGGCTGCGAGCAGCCGCGTCCTACGATCAGCCTGGTTGATCATTTTAGGAACAAGGAGGCCTGGTCGAGGACTGGGCCGCCGGGACGCAAAGCCCCGAAATCATCGCAAGATAACCGCAAGGTACTTTGAAGGAACAAGGCGTGTACCTTACGATGAATGAACGAGGCGGGTACCAGACCTGGAAGTATCAAGGTGGGTACCAGACCTGGAAGTAACGAGGCGGGTACCAGACCTGGAAGTAACGAGGCGGGTACCAGACCTGGAAGTAACGAGGCGGGTACCAGACCTGGAAGTAACGAGGCGGGTACCAGACCTGGAAGTAACGAGGCGGGTACCAGACCTGGAAGCAGCGAGGCGGGTACCATACCTGGAAGTATCAAGGCGGGTACCAGACCTGGAAGTATCAAGGCGGGTACCAGACCTGGAAGTAACGAGGCGGGTACCAGACCTGGAAGCAGCGAGGCGGGTACCAGACCTGGAAGTAACGAGGCGGGTACCAGACCTGGAAGTAACGAGGCGGGTACCAGACCTGGAAGTAACGAGGCGGGTACCAGACCTGGAAGTAACGAGGCGGGTACCAGACCTGGAAGTAACGAGGCGGGTACCAGACCTGGAAGCAGCGAGGCGGGTACCAGACCTGGAAGTATCAAGGCGGGTACCATACCTGGAAGTAACGAGGCGGGTACCAGACCTGGAAGTAACGAGGCGGGTACCAGACCTGGAAGTAACGAGGCGGGTACCAGACCTGGAAGTAACGAGGCGGGTACCAGACCTGGAAGTAACGAGGCGGGTACCAGACCTGGAAGTATCGAGGCGGGTACCAGACCTGGAAGTATCGAGGCGGGTACCAGACCT